ATTACTGCACTATATACAACCCAGAATGATGGCGAATTGATAAAACATGCAAATGAAGCAACAATTCATAGAATATATTAAAATTTCCATTTAAACTGTTAGTTAAGCTGTATACATTTGTAAATGTAAACATTAACCCTCAGGAAAAATATTTTCTAAACTACAGCATAATTGGCAACTCCAGAATCATATATAACAGAAAAGAGATCATTATACAGACAGGTACCTTTATCGCTATAAATAAAAGAACATTTCCACAGAGTTGTTGCTTCCTCTTGGCTGCCCCCACAGCACCTCCCCTGGCTCTCTGTGGAGCCATTGTTGATACCCTCCTCCATGGCAGGCAGTGGGGCACACATCTGCCTCCCAAGCCAGCAAGCCACACCCCTGAGGGCAGCACCGAGCCTGAGCCAACCATATCCCCTGTATTGCCCAGGGCACAGGAGGTGCTTGCAGCCCTCAGCTGAACTGGTTGAAATTGAACAATATGGAGTTGAACTGAATTAGATCAAATGTAATGAAATTAAATAGCACGTGATGTCTGTAGGTTTCCATTTTAGAAGCTAAGTAACAAAGTCCAAATTCCCTCCTCTTCTACCAGATGAAATGCCTCAGGCCAACATGCAAGCAAGCCTGGGATCAGGAGATGCCTGGGACAGAACAATCCACAAACTAAACCAGGCTGCCTGTCACAGGTGCACTAACCACCTTCCCACCCAGGAAGGCGTCCGAACCCCATTCTCAATGGAGAGAAGGTACTCCTGGACCAGCTGGCACAGCGCCTCTCATGAGCCCTCCCAAAACCCCTCAATGTGAAGGATCTCTGCTAATGTGACGCCGAACAACACAGGATCAGAATCTTCAAAACAGCTGCTGTGACCTGTTATTTTCATCAGTCTCTGCAAATAATTATGTCATAATTTCTGTTGAGGAAAAGGTGGCTTTCATGAAAAGTATACTTAGCTGTTTTTTACCTGACAACGAAAAACACAAAAATCTATTTTTACCCAGTTTTGCCTAATGTGCTAGAAAGCTTAGAGCAAAACAATGTACAACAGTGGTCAGTACCCCTTGATCTCCAGTTCTTCGTTGGGTATTGCCAACTCCCTTCCCCTTCCCCTTCCCCTTCCCTCCTTTCTTTCCTTCTTTCTTTCGAGATGGAGTCTTGTTCTGTCACCCAGGCTGGGGTGCAGTGGCCCTATATCTGGGCTCACTGCAACCTCCGCCTCCCGGGTTCAAGCAATTCTCATGCCTCAGTCTCTTGAGTAACTTGAGTAGCTGGAATTACAGGCACCTACCACCATGCCTGGCTAATTTTTGTGTTTTTAGTAGAAATGGGGTTTCACCATGTTGGCCAGGCTTGTCTTGAACTCTTGACCTCAGGTGATCCACCCACCTTAGCCTCCCAAAGTGCTAGATTACAGGCATGAGCCACCGTGCCCAGACTCTCATTTCTTTTTGGTGGTGGTTGTTTTACTATATTCTCTACTGGTGTTTTTGCAAATAGCCTCTAGTTTCTTTTGAAAGTATAAAGGCAATAAATAATACACAAACCAAAATAGAACAAATATCAAACTATATTAGAGCTACTGAGCAAGAAAAGCCATGCTACCTACCCAAACGCTGCCATAAATTCCACACTTCCTTTCGTCATGTTAAAATTCATAAACAGGTAACAAATTATGTTGGGAAGATAAGATCACAATTTTAGCATTGAAAAAAGACAAATGATTTGGAAAACAGCATTAGTGATTTTCCAAAAGACCAGTGAATTAATAATCTATAAATAGGACCCACATTCCCATGCATTGCCAGGCACTCTAATCACCTCTGCAAAAGACTAGTCAGTAAAAGGGAAAATAAATTAATTTTTTAAGGGGGAGGAAGAAGCAGAGATGGAAACTCATTATTTGAATGCACATCGTGTTTCAAGTGATGTTTTGTAGAGTATTCTGCATACAGTATCTATGGGATAGGGTCATTATTCTTATTTTATAGGTGAGACTAATGTTACCCAGGCACAGGAATAAGTAACTCAGCCAGTATCCTAGCATTAGAAGAAGTCATAAATGATCCATCCAAGGTTAAGTCCTAAGGTTTTCTCTCCAAAACGTGCCATTGTATCATTAGTGACTCCAAAATACTTTCACATGTTCTGTGCACTTCACATTGATTATAACATTTTATCCTCCTACTAACTGTAGGTAGTAGTTAGAATAGGATCTGCCCATTTGGGGAGTGAAGAAACTGAAGCCAAGAGGCGTATGTTTCTAGTTGGGTCATATCCATGCTCTGATATTTCACGGCAGAACCACACTCCAGCTCTCTCTATCCCAGGGCTAGAACACTGTCATGCAGCTTCCTTTGCACCATCCTGTAGAAAAGCGAGGACGTGAGTCTTAAAGACTCACCTTCCAGCTGCTCATTCCAGGAGAGGGAAGAGTCAAATGTGCCTGCGCGCACATTATCCTACCAAGAGTGTTTGCATGTGATTTTATGCCCCTTCCCTCCACCCTAGACTTAACCGCAATATTTTTAAAATGTAGATAAGGCTTTGGGGATGAATTCAGAAATGTGTTCTGTCCCCCGGATGCAATTACAATGCATCCAGCCTGTGTGTCAAGCTCCTAAGCCTTCTGAAAATATCTTCCTCCTGACCATTTTGTAAGACAGCAGAGTCAAGAAAACAAAATTCCTGGAAAGAGGAGGTTAACTGGATGTCTGATTGCCTCCAAAAAGCAATTAAGACTCAAGCAGAAAGTTCAAGTTGATACTGAACCAGTTCAACCCTGCTATCCCCAAGCCCATGAAATCCCAGAGCTGCCCTGCCTCAATATAGCCTGACATGTTTCCAATGGCCATGATGATGCATATTCAGCAGCGTAAACACCATTGGCCTTTCCTAAATCAATATTCATGGAAACCCTCAGGCAATCAATATGCAGAGGGTAAGCCTTCCCCAGGGTAGCTTCTGCTGCAAATGGTAGCAGGCCCCTCCCACCCTCTAAACCCAGGCATCACACACTTCCTTGACACACACTAAGTCTTCAAAACACATGCATGGGGCTGCCTTCTGTACATATACACACTGATTCACATAGAAAACTCTCAACCTCCCTAACAGAAATGTACCTCGCCCACCACTCATTGGAGATTTTGGCTGAGAGCTATAAACTGAGCAGGATATTTTAGTTTTGTCTTTCATTTTTTGTAAGTTTAACTGAGCTCCATCAGGTAGTTCTAATAAGTCTAATTCCAACTTGCAAGGGAGGGGTGAGGACTGGGGGACTCATGGCCTCCATGAAGCTAAGCAAGGGGGAAGATAAAGGTGCCTTCAGCTAGCACAGTGCCCAGCCAACCACAGCTGCTGAAGAAATCTTTTTTTAAAATCTCATTTTTAGTATTTGTGGGTACACAGTAAGTGCATTTATTTATGGGGTATATGAGAGATTTTGACACAGGCATACTGCATTTGTCTGTTCTCACGCTGCTAATAAAGACATACCTGAGACTGGATAATTTATAAAGGAAGGAGGTTTAATAGACTCACAGTTTCACATGGCTGGGAAACCCTCACAATCATGGCGGAAGGCAAAGGAGGAACAAAGTCACATCTTACATGGCCACAGGCAAGAGACACCGTGTGCAGGGGACTCCCATTTATAAAACCATCAGGTCTCATGAGATTTATTCACAAACACAAGAACAGTATGGAGGAAACTGCCCCCATGATTCAGTTACCTCCACCTGACCACCCTCCTTGACATGTGGGGATTATTACAATTCAAGATGAGATTTGGGTGGGGACACAGCCAAACCATATCACATACAATGTGCAATAGCCACATGCGGATAAATGAGGCATCTAGGGAAATGTTTTCAGGAGCAAAAGAGAAATTGAGTGAAATCCTCCTGTTCTTGCAGCTGATAGTCAGGTCTAGTTCCATGTGGCTCCAAATGCCTCCACCATGAGCTAAAAGCAGTGACTGACTGAAAAACCCTCTCTATTACAGACCACAACACTGAACCCAACATCCCCCTAAGTAGGTGAGTGGTTAAAAGCAAAGGAGTCTCTGGAGGTCATTGTGTTAAGTGAAATAAGCCAGGCACAGAAAGACAAATATCCTGAGTTCTCACTCAAATGTGGGAACTATTAAAAAAAAAAAAATTGATCTCATGGAGGTCGAGAATAGAATGATGGATACCAGAGGCTCACAAGGGTGTGTGGGTGGGAAGGGTGTGTGGGTGGGAAGATGCGTGGGTGGGAAGGGTGTGTGGGTGGGAGGATGTGTGGGTGGGAAGGGTGTATGGGTGGGAGTGTGAACAGAGATGAGTCAATGGGTGTAAACATACAGTTAGACAAAAGGTGTAAGTTCCAATGTTCAATTCAGAGTGGGTAACTATAGTTAACAACGATGTATATTTCAAAGTAACTGGGAAAAAGGACTTGAAATGTTCCCAAGACATAGAAATGGTCAGTACTTGACGTGATGGACACCCCAAATACCTTGACTTGATCACTGCGAATTCTATGCATGTAACAAAATATCACATATACCCCATAAGTACATAAAATATCGTGTATCAATTTTTAAAAAGCAAGGGAATCAGAAATCACCAGGTGTTAGTTGGGTGATTTTGTGCAGGCCATTTAACCTCCATTGGTGCTCCAGTTTTCTCATCTGTAAATTAGGGAAAACTTGGAGCATCTCATGGGACTGTAGTGAGAATTAAATGACATTGTGAAAATAAAAAACTGAACACAAGTCCTGCTCAGAGAAAGAAGTCAAGTAATGGTAGCCATCACTCTTCATCAGCCTAGAATGCATTCGATTCAGGAAACATAAGTGCTCATCTTTTTCTTCTCCCTTTAAAGGAGAGGATACCAAGATACAGTGAGGAATTAGCAGAGCTCCTGCAGGGGAGGTGTGGGCAGGAAAGGAGGGCTGAGAAAGGAGTGGCCAGGGACTGTCTAATTGGATTCTTTTTGTTTTCTGCAGGTTGTACTCACATCATTGGTCTTATGGGGAAATGTTAAGACCTCCCACTTGTAAGGTTTTATAGCCCTCTATGGAATGTTGAAGAAAGAGTAAAATGCATCCAAAAAAAAAAAAAACTAAACTGGATAAATTCTGAGGCCTCTTCAGGTCTTAAGATGGCTGTTTTCTAGGTCCTCTTGTTGCAGCAGTGAAATCCACAGACATGGACAAGTGAGTCAATTATGTGCCTTTCAGAGAAAACTTCTGACTTAGGAATTCCAGCTATTTGGCCCAACCCATATTAGACTGTGTTATAAAGAATGGGTAAATTACATCACGAAGGGAAGAGCAGAGGAAACACAACATTCCTTCAAGACCCATCAGCTCTGATGTTAGCAGAACACCCCTAAAGAGGAAAACAAGAAATTTTGAATTTGAACTTGGTACTTCCCAGCAGCCCCGGGAGTGGGGTCAGAAGCCCTGCTGGGGGGCAAAGAACTCTGAGGATCAAAGATGTTGAGCATCACCTTAGAGACCAAAGATCAGAACAGTGGAGGTGGCCTTTGAAGCCCAATCTATGCTTTCACCAGAGAGTGAGAACGGCCTCTATTTCCAGGAAGCTCACTGCAACAACAATCACGATCCACTGAGCCTGACAAGGTGAGAATTTACTTTCAGCACCTGCAATACTTTCCTATTAAAGTTACATATGAAACCCTGCCGTCTTGTACCAACTAATGTTCACACCAGCGTTCCTATTTTCAAGATAAATTGCAAAATAAAAACTCTTGTTTTTGTTAGCAAAAGAAAACTTCTTTAGGAGGACAAAAGGGAGATGAAGAAACAGAAAACACAGCTCTCCATCTAAATTACAGAATGCAGAAAATATCCTGAAGTGAATAACACAGGAATCACCCTTTTTCCTCCTGAGATAACAGGTTACTTATAAGAAACAAACTTGAAATCTCTGCATCTGGACCAGCTTCCAGAGGCTTTTGTCCTGACCAGGTGAGAGGAAAAAAAAAAAAAACAAAAACAAAAACTGATGGTCGGTCAGTGGGTAAACAGTGACACCCAGTGGTCACTTAGATAACCAGCTGTGCATTCTCCCAATTCAACTATCCACATTTTTTAAAAAAAATGGTCAAGTAGTATGTATTTTGTTATTCAACAGATATTTACTGAATAACTAGAAGATGCTAGATGTTATTCTATTCATTTTATACCACTCTTCAAATTACGGATGTTTCCCCACCAAAACCGACCCTCACAAAAGAAAAGCTATCTGGGGCCTTAGATCCCCTTTCAAAGGCTCAAGGTGAGACCCACAAACAAGGGTCATCAAATTCCAAAGGAGATGAAGGGCTTTTCCCGGGGTCACAATCAAATCAACGGCCATGTGGCAGCCAAGTGCGAGTCTCCAGAGGCTTCTCTCAGGGCTCCCATGGGAAAGGGTTTGTGCACGTTGATTTCAGGCCACGTGAGCACTGCAGGTGTTGAACATAGTATTAATACAAGGACAGCTGCTCTTCCTGGCTTTCTTCGACTAATCTCGGTAACTTGGTTAAGCCATGTTATCTTCTACTTTTATGATGAGTAAATTGTCGTTTTCATCATTTCTTTGTAGCTGGATTTGGAGAAGGAAAGGAAACCAGGGAAGAAGGGGCTGAAATAATTGGTTTCCACCGTGACCTTTGAACCCTCGGGTGAGTTGTCAACTTCATTGAGGATGAGTGTCCTCGATATCAAACGAGATCACTTTACTTGCAAGCTTGTTGTGAGGACTGAATGAAACCTTTTCTTTTTTCTTTCTTGGAGTTTTGGAGCAACGTCCCTGAGCCAAGCCCCACACCAGCTTGAGCCCTATCATCGGTAAATATACGGTGCTTTCTCCCCTCCCCTCTGCACTCCAGCTTACTCTGCAGTCCGGGGGTGGCACCAGGATCCCCTTTAAGACTTTGCCACTTGGGCCAGCTGTGCCTCTGAGAAATTCCGTTTCTATTGCAGGCCACAAGGACGAGCTGAGAAATGGCTTCCAGTCACCATCTAGATTAGAAAGCCTATAGTTCAAATATAGAGATATCAGTTATGCCTGTGAAAAGACATTAAATCGCACAGGGCTGTAATTCCTAGACTCTACAAATTTCATCTTGCACTAAATTCTATTATTTCATTTATAATTCAGATTCTTCAAATCTAAGAGTGCCTAGCTTAAAATTATAATACCTACAACTATTCCAAAACTGGACTCTTTAATTGCCTTACTGGAACCAGTAGCTGATTCAAAGCAAAACAAAACAAAATTCCTCCTTTCTCTAATTTAGTGAATCAATGATCTAACTGAATTCATTTTTGGACTGAGTTTGCAGCACTTGCAGCCCTGAGGGACACATTCCCCCACCACACTGAGCTTGCACTCCCATCAACTCAAGTGAACATTTTGCTTATTCAGATTGGGGGGGTGAAGGAAGTCACAAAAGGGTTAACATGTGCGGCATTTCATTGTAATATGTACTCACTACTAACTAAATTAAAAGAGATGTGAGTTATTAAAAACTCCATCTTAAGAAAGATAAGTAACAGAAATCAGAGTTCAGACCCGTTGTTACTGAGTTTCCAACCAACACCTGTGAGTTAAACCTATGGCCACCCTGAAAACGGTTCATATTTTCAAAAGCAATCCTTCATCGAAGATGAAATGCACTAAAGATTCATATTACATATCATGCTGCAATAAGAAAAGCAAATAAGGTCTTTCCATATTCAATAATAAAGTTTAAAGGAAAGGAATATTTGTTTAGCCAGTTAGCCAGAAATTAGGTGTATCAGAATACATCATTCTCTGAGCATTTTAGAAAATCAGGCTATTTTTACATTGTGTTTTTCTTTGTAAGTCCTTTAAAAATATAGAGAATATTCTTGAAATTATAGTGTTTGTCTTCTGGAACAAAAAATACTAATCAAGGAAATCTGCAAATTTAATTGTTCATTGAGCTTCCACAGCAAACACTGTGTGAGGAGGCTGAAGCTTAGAAGTCCAAAAACTAAAAGATTATTATTATTTCGATAATAGTATCTTATGTCTGCATAACATCTGAACTCAGTTCTTTGCAGAGGTTCTCTCCTTCCTCAAGCAACCTCTGAGGTAGGGAGGGGCGACAATATTGGCTCCATTTTACAGTTAAGAAAACAGAGGCTCACGGAGTCATAAGTAAGGCTGGGCGGGAACGTCCGTCCTGTTCTCTGGGTCTGAAGAGCACAGTCATGAAGGATGGAAGTCATTTCACATTTTAAAACGAAACAGATAACTTGTGCTAAATGCGTGTCCCGGCCCTGCCCTGAGAGACAAGGAAGTCGAAGTGGGTGAGGGCGCAGGAGGCCGGATTTCCTGTGATGCTGGACACGTGGCAGGAAGCGGGGAGAGCTGACACCGGAAGCCCTGGAAGGTTGCCTGCTCTGCAGCAGCTGGAGGGAGCAAGAGAGCCCTGTGGCTGGCATGGTCAGAAGAAATCTAAGCGGACTAAGAGCCATAATCTGCCCTCGAACTCAGGTATGCTTTCTCCGATTCAGGCGAAACTCAGGGTTCACCACTGAGAGAGGCTTCACCCAGCCCTCTTGGTGCCCTCCTCGGGGTTCCACGGAATCCTAACGCATGCTCGTCATTTCATTTTTAGGCTTTGCATTAATTTCAACCTGCTCAAGACATTAAAGCACTCGAGAGTTGAAAAAATTTTGGAGGACTCATTTCAAATGTCATGCTGCCAAGGCTCCCTGCTGGCTTTTCCATATTTAATCAAAAGCACTCGGTTGCCTGCTTTCAAAGTAGTTAGCGCCAAGTCCCCTGCCCAACAGCCCTAAGCTGCAGCCCTTCAAAGTGCTGGGTAGACTGACCTCAGCCAATCAGCCAGCGCTGAGAAATTCAGACCTTAGTGCTGAGTGAATGCCCAGTGTCATTTGTAGCTGAATGCAGCCGTGTAATGGGTGCTGGGTGATTATCTGTAATGTATGGAAAGCAAGATGAGAATCTCTTTTTACTCCTCTTACTGTTTTCTAATCTAATTGACAAGGAGTTCAGGGAAGTGCAGTAAAAATTCTTCTCTAGTCAATGGGTGATTTTTTTTTTTTTTAATGTGAGAACAATCAAAAAGTATGAAGGAGAATGAGCTGGAGTAACCTCGATTTAAGAAAACAGTAACACACTATTTAAAAAAAAGAAAGAAAAGAAAAGTAACAAAGTGAAGGAAGAAGGAACAGATGGATGAGACCATCAGATTCCTCTTTCCAGGAAGGAAATTCATTAGTACAGTAATTCAGCTCTTTAATTATGAATGGGTCTATTTAATTCTCCAAGTTTACTACTGATTTCCTGAATAGTATATGTTTCTGAGTTGAACATACTCATTAGTCCTTTCCATTCCAGGACACCTTGGCAAAGAACTGAACAAATGACCTCTCAGCAGGTGAGCACCGGCGTGGGGTAACCTACCTGTGACCATCTCCCCAGAAAGTCTGGACCGCAGAAATGTTCACAATTTTTAATGAATGTGCACAGCTCTTGAATGTGCACAGTAGGACATTTTTAAATGATCAACACTCAAATTTTTGAAATTATTATGAATTATTGTCCCAAAGATTAAGAATTGAATAAAAGAATGCTTCTGCATTTTCATAATAAACCCAGAAGGTTAATATTTCTGGCCCAACTCTATAAAACAGAATTAGGAAATTAATGTCCTGCAATAGTATTTCTGAATATTCTGTAATAATGTTGCTCATATCTCTGTAGTTTCATGGGGAAGACAAATGTTTTCTGTAAATTCAGTTGTCATCTGCTTAGAACATAGGTCCCTAGTGGATAAGGCTGTTTTATTATATATATGAAATAATATACATATGAAAAACATATATGTGAAATAATATATATATATAATTTCATATATATATGAAATATATATGGGCTTTCAGATATATATATATATATATATATATATCTTTAGTCCCTAGAACAGCTCTAGCTTCTACAACCTACATGTCGACGGATAAGAAACTACTACAATTTCAAATGACAAAATACTTACAACCAAATCAGATTTTTCAATATAGGAAGAGCCATTTTTCTATCAAGTGCTTGTTTGCAGTGGTTCACACTGTATAATGAATCAACACCTTATATTTTTAGGTTTAAAATATATTTTTAATTCTTAAAAAGCAACAATACTGATATATACATATTTAAATAAATCTGTGTTTTCAACTCAATTAGCTATTTGGGAAGACTAATACAAGCATACAATTTGAGATTGGAATTTTACATTTTTATATGAAGGTGAATAAAGAAAGAAGGGGTTCAGGAAGAAGGAAAATGAGATAAATATTTTATACTTTTTGAAACTACAAGAGTTTGTTTTTTTTTTTTTTTGCTATAGTAACAAGAAGAGTAAACTTTCCTGAGTTTCATGTAGATCCTAACTTCATGCTCACAAAAGGGATGGGGAAGAGTGATCATTTTTTAACATTATATTTATATCTATAATGATGGATATGCATTTTATTTTTAGATCTTATGCACAAAATCATCAAGTGGAAATATGAAAAGGAGCATAAAATATACCCACTCACAGGGATTTTAAAGATATGCCTACCAACAAGAGCAAACATTTTATGTGAAACCCAAGATGATCTGCAGAGGGAAACGTGCTGGGCTGGGAAGGAAAGTGGTTAGAGGCTGCAGCCCAGCTTTGAGGCTATGATGGTCCAGTTGCTGTCAGGCTCTGCATCTCACTTTCCTGTTCTGTAAAATCTGACCAGATGATCTGAAAGCTCCCTTCCAGCTCTAAGCCGGCAATGCTTACATAGAGAATAAAATGAACGCCCCACCCCACCGGGGTTACTGCTGATCCACACAGATGCACACTCCCACTTCCCTGCATCTTCACGTTCACTACATTCATCTCCATCTGATTATCAAGTTGCAAACTGGACCAGCGCCAAACAGCAACTTCTGTCATAAAATCTCTCTCAATCTAATTCCCACATGGGAGAAAGGCACCAGGAAGATGGAGCGGCCCCATCTTCCTCCCCAAATGAAACACTACTAAGACAGTCCAACCAGCCTGTGATCCCGGCAACAGCTCCCAGCTCCAGATGTGGCAGCCTGATGTTGATGAGGTCAAGTCACAGATCCAAGACTCACCAAAAAAATTCACCACACACAGAAAAAGGAAAAACAACTTCTTTCCTTATCCAGAATGTGTCCATTAACCTGGAGGCACGTCCAAGAGCCTTGAAGCAGTAACCAACGGCATTAGCATGGAGTGCAGGTGTGTCAGCCCATTCCACGCCACTGCCAGCAGAGCCACCTGAGCGTCCCTAGAAGGAAGACCCCTTGACCTTCCCATTCTTACCATGAGGCACGGTTCCTGTTTTGGGGGAAAATCATCCTAAGGAAGGATATTGCGTTGCTATTGACAAAGGAAAAATACGCTTGTGCATTTCTCCCGGTAAGCTAATTTGCAAAAGGCCTAATCACACTAAGCAAATATTTTCCAGCCCCAAGAGAGGAGGGAAAGAGGATGAGGACGTGCTCGCCCCCTGAGGACATGACCCTTCCTCTCTATCCCTGGGAGAACTCAGGGCCAGGGTCATACCTTGTTCCAGGGTACCTGGGAAGGAGGGTCTTTGGCTGGTCCCTGGGTTCAGGGTGAAACTCTGGATGGTCCCACAATGTAGGAAAGGGAAAGTGAATGTCAGGGAAGTCCAACCGTGTCTGCTACACACCCATGTGGATGCGAGCCCCCTCCCATCACTGTGACTCCAAAGGCTGGAATCTCTCTCATCCTCTTGTCAGCACCCCAGACTGAATCAACATGAGAACATCGCTGAATGGAGTTAGAATCATAAATACCATTTCTTTAGCCTCTGAGACATCATGATTATGATATTGTAATGGCCACGCAGTCTGAACATTCGCCCATGTCAGACTGGGGCTCGCTAACCACCTGAAGGTGCACACCATGAGCCTCCTTTACAGTCAGCATCGGATGAAGCTGCTGGGCAGATCCAGGCCCCCCACAGCCAGGCCCCTGCAGGGCATCCCGCTGCCTGGCTACCTGGCTACCTGTGCAGGACCACAGCACTGTCTCACCTGTAGCCACGCAAAGCGAAAACCTCTGCAATTGCTTCTGGAAGGGCCGCTGGCAGAGGCGCTTTTCCATGGTGGAGGAAGCCTCCCTTAGCTGAGCAACAGCTGCTGAACCCCATGGTGGTCCTGCCTCCAGACATTCCAGTCACCTCCACATGGCTCTGCAGCAGAGCCCCGCATTTATGGATTGCAGCCGTGGCCTTTATGGGTGGACTATGAGTGAGTGAGGGGGAAAAACTGGAAGAAGGAAGCGTGCGCATGTGACTTCAGTGACGCCTGTGCTCCGACCACATAGTTTAAGTGTCAGCCTCCATCTTGTGCTTATTTTTAAACCATTGCTATTAACTTGACCAATGGTCATAATGCAGTTCCCCCCTTACCATCACAGTATTACCAGGAAATTCGTGTTCAAACTTCAGCAGAACAGAATACCCGTGAGAAAAAGCACTAACTGGCTGCGTGCGGTGGCTCACGCCTGTAATCCCAGCACTTTGGGAGGCTGAGGTGGGCGGATCACCTGGGGTCAGGAGTTCAAGACCACCCTGGCCAACATGGTGAAACCCCGTCTCTACTAAAACTACAAAAATTAGCCAGGCATGGTGGTGCACGCCTGTAATCCCAGCTACTAGGGAGGCTGAGGCAAGAGAATCGCTTGAACCTGGGAGGCAGAGGTTGCAGTGAGCTGAAATTACACCATTACACTCCAACCTGGGTGACAAGAGCAAGACTCCGAAAAAAAAAAAAAAGGAAAAAAAAAAAAAAAAAAAAACCACTAACCATGGTGAACAGAACTCCTGGCTGAAAACATAATTAGAAGATGCAAGGGAGCGATTTCCAGACTGCCAGCAGGGACTGAGCCGCTCACCCACCAAGCCCCACGGTCCACGTGTCGTCGGAGCAAACCTTGCCGGGGCTTCTCTGCCTTTTAGATCAGAGTAGGCCATTGGGGTCATCAGACAACTGCCCAGGTGCTGGCAATTGCCTGTCTCTGTTGAGGGATGGGTACAGGCCACGGGGAAGGTCCACGTTTCCTATGCCATCTGGAGAATCTAAATTGCTACAATATTTTAAATATGCCTTTAGTTGCAGGAAGGTGAGGGAGAGGCCACCAAAATGTGGGTTCCGCAAGGGCAGGAGCCTTTTTTATTTGGTTCTGAGGCCCTAGAACAGAGTCTGACACATAATCATTGTCAATAAAATGTATTAAATGAATGTTAGCTCTGAAATAACACTAAGATAATTAAATACCCTAATTTGTCTTCGTGTTCCTTCTGTTTTGCCTGTGGCTGGCTTCTCTTTGGCCATGTCCAGGCCACCCCAGGCCAATGACCTTCCACAGTCTCCGACTTTCTCCACTCAGTCCCTGCCAGCAGCCCCTGTTCTACCTCTGTGCCACGAGCACACATGGGGGTACTGTCGTGCACGGGGGGTACCATTTTGCATGGGGGGTGCCGTTGTGCATGGGTGGTACTGTCCTGCATGGGGAGTATCATTCTGCATGGGGTTACTGTCCTTCACTGGGGATACTGCCATGCATGGGGGGTACCATCTTGCAGAGGGGGTACCATCCTGCATGGGGGTTACTGTCTTGCACAAGGGGTACCATCGTGCATGGGGGTACCATCCTGTACTAGGGATACCATCCTGCACGGGGGGTACTGTCCTGCACAGGGGGTACCATTCTACACTGGGGGTACCATCCATCCTGTATGGGGGGTACTGTCCGGCATGAGGGGTACTGTTCTACACCAGGGCTATTGTCCTATACCAAGGATACCATCCTGCACTGGGGCTACTGTCCTACACCAGGGATACCATCCTACACAGGGGGGTACAGGGGGCACTGTCCTACACCAGGGCCACTGTTCTCCACGGGGGTACAGGGAGTACTGTTCTACACCAGGGGCACCATCCTACACCAAGTATACCATCCTACACTCGGGATACATCCTATACCAGGGGTACTGTCCTCCGCCGGGGGTACCGTCCTGCATGAGGGGTACTGTTTTGCACAGGGTGTACCATCCTCCACTAGGGGTACCATCCTGCACCCAGGTTACTATCCTGCATTGGGAGTACCACCCTGACAACAACTTTCCGGTCAGGATTTTCCCAGATTCCGTCCCTCAAGAAATAATAAAAAACGTTTGCCCAACAAGTTATAGTGTGCACAGCATTTGGGACATCATTTTCTTTGTGAGCTACATTTATCTAACAGCAGGAAGCAGTAAGGCATGTAGAGAAGGCATGACCTTTGCAGGTGGGGACACGAGATGCCAAATCCCACTTCAGTCAGCAAGAACTGTGTGGCCTCAGGAAAGTTAGTTTAAATGGATTTGAACCTCAGCTTTCTCATGTAAAGTGAGACATGAATACCTTCCTCTTAGAGTTCTGATAAAGATTAGATCCCATGGATGCAAAACCTAGCACGGTGAGCAGCAAATAGGAACCCAAAACCAGTCATGTGCCTTCCCACCATCGTATTCACTTGCTTGCCAGTATCATCACTTGGTGGGATGTTCCTATGCGACGTGGCCCGTTTCTTGTCTCCCATCAGAGCAGGCAGGCAACAGGGCAGGACGAAGGCAGGCTCTCCAGTCTCTCTGACTTCTTCCCCCAGCAGCTGAGTCCTTGGGGGACATGGTAGACTCCAAGCACAATTTCCCCAAAAACGAAAAGCATGAAGGTCTCACGGGTTGTGGGAGCAGGGAAGGTTCACTGGAGGCTCTGCAGGAAGCAGCGTGCCCAGAGGGCCCACCTGCAGAAGACACACCGGCCGGGAACAAAGGACCAACTCCAGCTGCAAATGCACTTTGCTTGCCCCCAGTGATTTTATTTCCAAATGTAAATAGCTGTCAATATAAAATAACATTTGTTTTACAAAAATCTGAATTTCTGGTTTTGGAAAACAAAAGCTGGCCCCGTGAAGCCTATATTCCTACATTCAGCTGGAACTGAACAGGTCGACCAAGAGGACCAGGGAGCAAGGTCAGGCAGCCCCTCAGCTCTGGTGCCGCGGGACAGAGAACCAGTGGGTGCAAGCTTGTTATGTGGCAGGTCTTAGAAAGTCATATTTGAGCTGTCACGTAAATTAAAAATGGAGCTTTGAACATTCCAGTGGTTGAACTGGAAAAGAATTACACTTTGCCAGCTACATAAATTAGCAGAAATATTATTCAGGTTCTAAGGAAAGAAGCCCTATAAAAAATTGGTGCTCTCTATAAATAAATAATAAATCATTACCATATAGAATGCCAGCTAGCTGAGAAAAATCATGGTTTAAGAGAAATTTCAATGCTATAAAAACGCCCATGAATATGTTCTAGGTCAAAAACAAATAACCACAGAGTATAAACAGCACAACCCCAGCTTTGTAAAAATATGCATGTATATATATAGAAACCCAGAACACAAAACCGACAAATTTTAACAGCGTTAATCTTTTGGATGGTGACATTTTATTCCTTGTACTTTTATGCAATTTCCAAACTCTCTACAATGTCTATATATTAATTTCAAAACAAGAAAAGCAATGCTATATAGGCTCTCTATATTATGAGCCTTCTATATTTCACTCCATTTGTAAGTCAGTGTCTATTTTCTTTAAAAATAAAGAAAATTTTAATATTGTTTACTGCCTCTTCTTTGGTTCACTGAAATCTGAGCCAAAGCCCAAAGCCTAGAAGATGGCAGCTTCTTGCTCACCAACAAACTCAACATGGAAAAAAGTAGGAACGTGCCTGTTATAGTCAGTAAACACATGTTTCCCAGCCATTTATAAATGTCAGAAGCCATTGATCTTCCATCAGCAAGAATCCTGAGGCTCCTCGCGGTTCCCGGGCTGGCTGGCGGCAGAGCAGCATTGCCTTCCGTCCTCGGGGTCTCAGTGTCAGCTCAGCAAGAGCAGCAAGACCTTCAGGTGCTCACTGAAAGCATCTTCATGCAGTGTCAGATAATGCCATGGAATTCTTTGTAGTCATTGTTTTTAATATGAGCTTCTATAAATCAATCCTTGAATTGCCCTGGTTTTCAAACATTCATGTTTAGGTAGATTTAACATTCATTGATCAGCAATCCTGACTCAGCAATCAGCAATCCTGATTCAGCAGAACTAACAGTGGTCCTCACATTGCCTTTTATGAATCACTGGAACTGCCGTAAGGGTTTCTTAGACACTCGTGCAAATTGTACCAAAGTGTATTTCAAAACATTTGCCTCGGAATTATATGAAAACTATTGAAGGAGAGGTGATTTTTGGTTTCATGTTTCCCCACTGTGGAAAAGAAAATGAAGTCTAATGTCAACCGTAATGAAGCCCTCACTATGTGCCAGGAACTGTGCGCTAAGGATTTTTAGATCATTTCATTCTTTTTTTTTGTTTGTTTTGAGACAGTGTCTGGCTCTGTGGCCCAGGCTGGAGTGCAGTGGCCGGATCTCAGCTCACTGCTAGCTCCGCCTCCCGGGCTTACGCCATTCTCCTGTCTCAGCCTCCCGAGTAGCTGGGACTACAGGCGCCCGCCACGTCGCCTGGCCAGTTTTTTGTATTTTTTTTTTAGTAGAGACGGGGTTTCAACGTGTTAGCCAGGATGGTCTCGATCTCCTGACCTCGTGATCCGCCCGTCTCGGCCTCCCAAAGTGCTGGGATTACAGGCTTGAGCCACCGCGCCCGGCGATCATTTCATTCTTATGGCAACCTGTGGAGCAGGCATTATCGTCCCCAGTCTACGGACGAGGAGACTGAGGCTCGGAAAGGCGTGCTCGAGCCTGCACAGTTACAGAGTAGCAGCGGGAGGGTTCTTTTCTTGTTCTTCTCTTAGAAATCCAAAGGTCAAATATGTTTATTTCTGTCTATTTTCCATTCTGTTGCTAAACTTCATTCTTGTTACAGGACATGTTTCTTCATGAATAGCAGACTACACATTTCGTTCTTTCTCTGTCAGAAAGATAAAAACTGAGCAGAGAAATATTTATCTCAGCCGGAGGAAGGAAGGAAAACACAACGTGAGGTACACCGAGAACACAGCCCTGCAGACGAGTTTGAGGAAAACCATACAACGTGGGGCTTGACGGCCTGAACACAGCGTCTTGTCAGCTGTGTAAAGAACACTGTGAGACAGCTCTCCAGGAAGCACGATGCCATCGTTCGGTCACACACACCAGGGTAGGTTGCAATGTGATAAAAATAGATTAGTGCAGCTTTCAGCAAGTTCCTACCTGGGAACAAGCTAAGGTTTCCCAGCTTCTCGGCCCCGCGTAAAAATGAAATGCATCAGGGCATGTGGCCCTCCTCAGGGAAACCCTTTTACAAAACTGAGCACATCAGGAAACAAAGCACAGCACAGCCTCTGGAGATAGGAAGGAAAGTCTCACCTAAAACTAAACATTTGGCACATCAGTCAACTGAAAAAGTTTCATGAGGAAGTATCAGAGAGGGACCCAGGACAGAGCAGAAGAGGGAACCAGACCACCGACTTTCTTTTTTTAAATTATACTTTAAGTTCCGGGCTACATGTGTAGAACCTGCAGTTTGTTACATAGGTATACACGTGCCGTGGTGGTTTGCTGCACCCATCAACCCATTTTAAGCCCTGCATGTATTACATATTTGTCCTAATGCTCTCCCTCCCCTTGTCCCCCACCCCCCAACAGGCCCTGGTGTGTGATTTTCCCCACCCTGTGTCCATGTGTTCTCATTGTTCAACTCCCAATTATGAGTGAGAACATGCGGTGTTTGGTTTTCTGTTCCCGTGTTAGTTT